CTCTCAAGGTTTTCCTATGCTAATGTTTTAACACCAGTAATACCCCAATGCTTCCAACACATCATGACAAAAAGTCTCCTAGCATTTGGAAGCTGTATGTGGCACACATCCTATGTGCTACCTTGACAGCTCCTGAGATTTAAGCATTGCTATAACCATGACATTAAAACCTCCTAGACAGGTGTACTGATTTGGTACAATTCTGACCTGCACTTAAGCTTTTACAAATACTAGATTTACAGGTTTCAATTGCAGTAAACTATCCTGAAAAGAATGTGCTTTCTCTTGCTTGAATTTAGAGACAGAATGGAGCATTTGCACTGAAAAAGGTGCAACTGAGTAAAACCATCTGGTACAGAAAAGCCCAATCTTTTCCAGAATACACCAAGAAAGCAGATAGTGGCAAAACTTACAGTGGGTTGTTTGGTTGGTTGTGTTTTCATTGACTTACAGGGTTTGTGTACAGGAGAAGTAAAGAAGGTTGCACAAGAGGAGTGCCTAAGGGAGGTAAATATGACCAAATCACTTTTCTTGCTACAGGTGCCACAGCCAGGACTTGCTAGTCAGGATTATGCAGTGAAGGTTCTGGAAAGAACTTGAGAAGCAGCACTGCTTCCTACACATTTAACATTTCTAATATCTACTGAATTAACCTGCATCTTTGTTAGCTTTGCCATGACGTTTTTGTAGGTTGTCTGTTTGCTGAGACTACTGGCTCAATTCAGCAAGCTGCTGAGCACTGTTTTAACAAAAACAGATTATATATAATCTTTTGGATTATACTAGAGCTAAAATAATCCCATAGCAGTGTGTTTCTGTGTTTGGATGCAATTAAAAGCTGCTAGATTAGTAAGATGTCGGTGCATTCAGCAATACATATGGATCCATAACTCACAGAAGTTGCTCTCCAGTTTAAATATGAGGAGGATTAATTTTCTCTTCTAAATTTTCCCAGCACAGAGACTCATACACTGAAGCAGTCCCTGGCTTTATGGATGCACCTATGCCAATTTTCCCATGCAGTTTCTCTTACCAGTGAGATCAACCTCCTCTCTCTTCAAACACTGGCCCGTTGTTGTTAGTCTGAATGTCTGATTCTTGATAAGACCTTGAACCAAGAGCTTATGGAAAGGCTCCCTAAGGGTGGAAGGAAAAAGAGACTTGCCTGTTGAAAAGAGCTGTCAAAAGCATACTTTATGATAAGCCTCAGGTGTTGAGCCAATCAGGCACAATTATTTAATGAAACAAGAATTTCAAGTTGACTCTACATAAATAGTTGTCACCTTAGAAAGAGTACTTTGTGAATTTATTCATGGTGGCTGGCAGGCAAGTATAAGTATTTATTTGTATTCTGCACACATTCTTGCACCCTAATTTCCTACTAAGTTATGCTAACATCACTTTTCAAATTAGCATATGGATAATACATAGAAACTTCTTTTCCAACAGTGCAACTTCCCTAACTTCAAGCAAGATCTCTTGTGTAAAAGCATTCAAGTACCTGGCCTCACTGTCTTACAAATATTTACTTCTAACTTCTCTCTGAGGAGCACAGTATTTTGATAAAAACAAAATGTGACTGCACATTTCTTTCTCTAAACAGATAAGATAGGTTCTCTGACATAAGCACACACATGACTTGCCTCTTGCAGAACTAGCCATGAAGGCAGAAGCTGTATGAAAAAAGTACACTAGAAAAAGGGCAATGCTGGAAAGTTTGTATGTTGGTGCATCCATTTTTTTAGCATCTTGAACACTAAGACTTTACTTTTCCAACAAAATTTACATGAGGGAGAGTAAACTCCCATCAAGTGTGTGTATGATAGAGCTAAAAAGAACCTTGAAGGGCATTATTGCACTCAGCTAGAAGTAAACTAAGTAAACACTGCTCTGGTTGACCAATATATTACTGCAGCCACCTCCTGTAATGATCATGCATTTCTAATGCATTGAGCCACATGTCTGTTGCTGTTTTCACTGAAAAAAAAACCCAAAAAACCAAAATTAACCTCTAGAGCTTTTGGTCCCCACTCAATAGGCCAGGAAAGTAAGGCAATTCTAATATAAGCCTTGAGAACAGTAAGGGCCAGGGAGGAGGTATGGAGCCAGTCTCAGAAGTCTTACACACTTTGGGAGAGTTCTCACGGAATCCTCCAAGACAAAGTGATCATCATTTTGGAGCACAGGTTAATCAGTGCTGGTTACTACTGACTTGCACCACCTAATGCTCGTGTGTACTCAACATTAAGCAATCTGAATTTTGCACAGTTCCAACTAACAAAGCCTCAGAAACGTACAAAACAACTTATGCAAAAAGGATGCATTACTATTTTTTTAAAAGCTAGAATAAACACATCTAAAGAAGAAATAGTAAAACCAGACTTCCACATTTTACTTCACATGTACAAAAAAGTCATAATCTAAGACACTACTCACTTTTAAGGAGTTAATTTAGTATTTTACATTATTAGAAAATATAAATTACATGACAATTTATCTTGTGATTTAAAACACAGTAATTTATTTACCAAAACAGTTAAAGTATTATTAAATTATATCACAATTATGCACATTTTCACCATATTTAAGCAGGTATCTTCCAACTACTAGTCTTTAAACCCTTTTGATGTCTCTGAAGTAAGGAGATATTTGAAACAAAAAGCCTTAAACTGGGAGAGAGAAAGTGACAGGCTTCATATTTTATCTTTAACATATTCCTGTTTGAACATGAGTTCCTTCCTTGCATATTTTGCACACTTCTAAACATTGTGCAAGTACTAGCACATTGTGATGTATCAGTCAGTCACAAAACTGTATAAGTCTCTGCCATGCCACCTGGTTTTATCAAAAATGTTAAGTAAGAGCAGCAATTCAAGCATCTCTATAAATATTTTCTAGACAATATTTCACAGGTTGCCTGAAAAATACTCATTTAGAAATATAGGAACTTAAAGAGATGAGAACTGAAGTCAAATTTAGACAGTACAAACAAGAAAAAAGATTTAAATATAGGAAGTAAAAAAATCTAAAACATCATAAAATGACCACAAATTATCCAAGTGAATTACAAGGTGAAAATTGTGAACAAAACTTTTATAATCCTATCATCAACAATGCTGGAAAACTGCTTCAGGAGATAACAGTTCAGAGTAAGTTTCTTCTATAAACTGAAGACATAGTGCCAAGGAAAAAAGAAAAATAATTTCAGTACTTCAGTTTGTTTAAGATCTCAAACAGTTGTTAAAATAGCTACACTTCCTGCTATCTAAAATAAAGCTAATGAGATAGCCACACCATCCAAATCAGATAGGATTCTGCACTGGAAGTGATTTTTCAAGGAACACTTACTTTTAATGACAAAGAGTTAGTTCAGATCATATGCCAAGTTCTTAAAAGCTGAATGCAGGAATGAGCATTTCTTGTTTTTGTTTATGCTGAGAGAGGCTACAAAAATGCTATACAAAATACATTACCAAGTATGGGAAAAGCAAAAAAACCCACGTGTTTCCAGTAGGAGACCGCAGGAGAACGGAGACATGCCCAAAATCAGAAAGCCTGAGCCCATCTAATAAACACAGGGCTCAGAAACAAATCAAACCCTGCACCGAATGTCTCCAGAAATGCACTGTGATTTTGCCAGTATTGTCGTGGCTCCACCTCACGTTCATATGCAGAGTTACACTCGGATTTACACGAATTAAACTGCACACTTCAAGATTTCGAAGACAGTGATGCACTTCTTAGCTGTAGAGGGAACTGCCAAAGGGCTGCAGCACAGCAGGTGCAATGCAATTCTGATCTACATACTGCAGCACCCAGTCATGGCATCATAAATACCTCTCCATCCAAACCAATCCAAACAACCAAAATTAAGCCATCTTCAGACAGACTGACACTTCTGCCACAGTAAATGAAGAAGTGTCTGGACTTTCTTTGAATGCAGAATCACATTCCAGGTTGTAAGGATGCAGGAATGGGATATGCCTTCACCTGCCTGTGAAGTTTGTTTATGCTCATGATAGAGTATGGGCACTGAGACCTTAGTCGTGTGCAGCTTCTGATCACACTGAATGTCCCACCTGTGAAGTCTGCCTGACACCTCTGAGAAGGATTAGCTGTGCTAGCCATGAAGTGTGTAATCCACCTTTTTACTTTCTTTAGTGTTCAATACTGGTTCATCTCTATGACAGACCAATCTCTCTATATATGACCATGCAATGGATGGTAAGGCAAGCGTGACTGACAGACCAGGAATTCCTGCTCAGTGCCGTGTCCTCGTACTCTTTGCTCTGCTCTGTGCAAGGTGAGCAGCAGGACTTTCAATCCAATTTCAAATGACATGTCTGGAAGGACTCTGTGGAGTCTGCCACAGTGATAGGGGATTCAGAAGAAGGGATATCCCCAGCAAGGTTGCCCACTGCATATATTTGCATCCTGCACCTTTAGAAAGGCTGAGAGAGTCTGATGCTATGCCCCACAGAGAAGGCAAGACCATGGTCGTTCACTATCAGCCGAGTTCAGGGGGATGTAAAACCTGCTGTAAGATCTAGCTGTAACAACCTGGCAACATTGTGGAAGTGGCTGGAGGATGTGAAAGCTGATTATTTTAGGCAGAAAAAAGATCAAACAATATTGAATGTTCAAGATTGTACACAGTCAACAGCTGAGTGCTTTTGCTTAAAATCAGCAGTAGTAATAAGGTCCCAAATGAATGCAGAGAAGCTCTAACATCCTTCCTTCACAGAATAAGCTATTTATGTCACACACGTATCTTCTTTTATCTGTAACACAGCTATGAGAAAACACTGCCTTCTTACTCAGCAGATTTGCTCTCTATCACAGCCAAATCTGCTGACCAAATGGCAACAATAAACTTTTTTATTGCTTTATAATCCTCCAGGGAGGATGTGCTAGATTCCATTCTTATCATTCATCAGACAGAACTGATCACTAAAGTCTAGGGAAGAACCAAATTGTGTGTAACTTGTGCTTGCAATAATACAGCTGAGCAGGTGTAACTGAGTCTGTCAGCACACACTCGCCATGGTGGATTCAGCTGGATCAGATGAGGAGGTTGCTGGCCCCAGCTGCCTCCCTGGCCCCTCTCCCAGTGGTGGTCACAGCTGGGAGGGCTTGCTGGCTTGTGAATTAATTACAGAACCAATGGCCTTTGCAGACCAGATTGCTAGAACAAACTGACATCAATTTGGGCTTAATTTGTTATCACATGTATGAATACCCAGAGGGTGCCATTTATTCTGCCCTGTCATTACTGAGGAAATGAGCAACATTTCCCACCATCTTCAGTTCAATGCATTAAAAAATAGAACTTCAGGGGATATTTAAACGCTGCATTTTCTACCAAAGCATGTGTGCTATCTGTAAATGCCTATTTTACATATGCTGCCTGTAATACTTCTATACTAATAATATTTACACCACATTTGAAGAGATTGCTTTGAAAATCTAAACTACGGAATTTGTAATTTCTCTTTTCAACCACATTATTATATTAGTATCCATGAGTACAGAATTAAAGATTGGCAGGAAATATTTCAGTGGATTTGAAAGTCAGAGCATAGGAGCCTAACGATGAAAATTTCCATGAAGAAAACCTATCAAAATGAAAAATTACTACAGATAAATCGAGGAATCATAAAAAATCACCAGGATGCTAGATAACAGTTTAAACAGTGGCAGCTCTCATTAACTGAGATATAGAAGCATTTTCTTAATTTAAGCAGTGAACGAGACCTGTGCTACTAGAGAAGGATTGAAAATGCACAAGAGGGCAGTGTTTTTTAACATTTTAGTATTTTTCCCTGGAACTGTGGGCTTCAACACCATGACTCTGAGCTTCCTAACAATAAGCCTGTTGTTTCTAATCACACCTTTTAGATATCTCAGACCCACCCTTGAGCAGTCCAAACAGAAGACTGATCAAAACTGGCTTCTGACCAATGCTAAAACATTTAAAACACGTGGCAAAATAATGTTTATAAAGGAGTTATGATTTCCGTATCAAAACAAAATCTTAATTTGACTTCATGACTTCAAAGCACCTAATGCTTTACCTTGCATAGAGCTAAAGCAAGCGAACAATTTTGTGCATGGTGATGAACTTGTTACCATCATCTTGCAGGCCATGCACATGCCTAAGCAGCACATACAACCAAGCAATGCTGTAACATATCTTCACATAAAGCCCTTCTGTGTTGTAATCCTTCCCACAGATGGCACAGCCCCAGCTGTTCTGTGAGTAGTCTGTACCTGAGATCCCTGGCAGCACTTCAGACTTGCTTCTGCCCTTGTGAGAGTCCTCTACATAGCAGCCCTGCCATCCAGAATACCAAGGGATTCTCTCAGTGTGCAGAGATACTGAACTTGTTGAGGGTGAGCACTTTGTTGTACTGCCCAGGTTGCTGCTGAAGATGTAAAATAGAACTGGGCTCAGGAGTGCCTCCCTAAGGAATACCACTTGCAAACAGCTGAATTTGAACATTGACCCTTTAAGGAGCCTGATGGTCCAGACAGCTTTTCCGTCCATGTTGCAGTCCAAGTCATTCAGCTTGTATGGCCCCAGACAGACTAAAAGGGAGAACTTGTTAAGAGCCTTGTTAAAGTCATGTTAAAGATATGCACAGCTCTCTCCTCATCCACTGATGGAATCATCTCACCATAAAAGGAAGGCAGATTAAGCTGGGCATAATCTCCTCTTGGTAAATTCATGGAGGCTACTCCCAGTCACATTGTCTTTCATATGCCTGGAATTTACATGTGTCTGGTTTACTTAAGTGATCCTTAACTCAATCTTCTCTACAGTGGGTAATATCTCTCTCCTTCAAACTCCTACTATGTACGGACCTTGACAGCAAAGGCCAAGGCAAAGATTGTCCTTTGCTACTTAGGCTCATTGTCTGATTTTGCATCAGGCCAGTGTTTTCCTTGATGCTCATTTCAATGTATCTGCAGAATTCCATCTTCACATTCATCACCAGTTTCAATTCTAGATGAGCTATGGCCTTTCCAAATTTCACTCTCTACCCAGTCAATGCTTTCACATTCTTCCAGCAGTAGCTCATTCTCACTTCCACTTTCGTTGCAAATTCTTTTGGTGCTTAAGATCATGCAGGAGGTCCCTTTTCGGTCAAGCTGACCTTTTTCATCTCCTTACTTTCTTGCACAACAAAGTGGACCACTTACTTTGCAAGAAAATCTCCCCTGCCCTGTGTTCTCACTTTATATTGACAATACTTCGGCCACCATAGTTAATGCTGGTTTTGGGAGGTGGAATAATTTGACTAGCAAAAGAACATTTTGTTGCTGTGTGTTACAGCTCCACTAGATGGCTGATGGATTAGGATTGTAATGTTTTTTTGTAGGATTGATAAGCCTAAAACTGCTTGCAAGGGAAAGCTTTGAAATTCTCTGCTAAAAGGAATAGTGCCTCTGAGAGAAAGAGTCTGTTTCAAGAGGTCCGTTCCAAGGGAGAAGAAACAGCCTTCCTGCTCCAGCTACGCAAGCTGGGCACAAGAGAGTGAAACACAGGTATACAAGCCATCTACATCCAAAATTTCAAATACAGCTTTCACTGCAAACTATTTTGCAGATGAGAACGTGTCTCATTTACATCACATGGTTATGAAATGACTTGGGGAAATATTCTGCTGGCTCCACTAAACAGTCCATCTTTTTCTGGCTCACAGCAAGTTAAATTCTAGTTTTGCAGCAAAACTACCACATTCAAGAGAATTCACTGCTGTGTATATGTAGGCTCCTTGTTTATATCATTTTCACAGGGAATACTAGTAAAGAATGAATGTACAAGAGTTGCTAGCTGAGTCCTCCTCACGGGGTCACACATTTTGACTCAATCTATTCAATCATCTCCTGATGGGAGAACATGACATAGCATGGGGCAGTGTTTCATTGTTCCAACAGGAGCATCCTCCAAGCTGAGGCACTCCTGGGATGGCATTTTAGGGTACAAAAGGGCAGAAGTTCAGTAGAAATGGGGATGTTAGGCTAAGAACATATCTGAGAGGACAAAGAACAGAACAACAGATGACTCACCTTCCTGCATCAAACTGTACCTCTAACCAATACAGAGGATAATGAATTAGGCTATATCAGCATCAGCAACAAGAGTAATTAAAACTAATTATATAAAAGTCATTACATTAAAAAAAAATTGCCAGCAGACAGACATATTGCTTTTTCCTATCAACATGTGTTTTGCATCGTTCAGCTCCAATACTGCAGTGAATTATAGAAGTGCTTAGTTTTCTACATGTGCATGGTTCCACTGAAATTAATGGTATTACTGGCAGGAAGTTACTTAATTTGAAATAACAGCAGTACTCAGAATGCCTGAAGTTACTAGTTTATGCATGCTTTTGCAGGCTGGAAATCTACAGCAGCATTTTATCACTTGCTCTGAGCTAGTTAATACTCATGCAATAAAAATATTATGTATGTACACACACAGAAAGTGCAACTGACTGTGAGAATCCGAGTACTGACAAAGCAGGAAAATTGAGGCTTATTCAATGTAACGTTCTACCATCATAACAATGTCCACTAATACTCTTGCTAGTCAAATGAAATATGAAAGATTTTTAGAGAAATATATAAGGCTTACTTGTGTTTTGTCATCTTCAGATTGTGGCAAAAATGGCTGAAAAACCTTGCATAGAATAAGTGCATGACTGCATGCTCCTTTCCTCCGATGTACAAATCCACAGGCATCCAGTAGTCTGCTAAGTCACTATTAAACGGCCTGAAAAAACACAAAGAAACAACAGAATGTGGAAAAAAGAAGATCAGTGCTACTAAAGCATGTATAATAAAACTTTTATTTTGCCATCATATCTTTTTAATTTTTTAGAAAGTGAAATGCTTATTATAGACAAGAATCCAATTTCCACTGAGATGCAGATCCACAAAGAGGTTATTTTCCTATATTTCAGGCAAGCAACTAAGATTTCACATACTTGAGAAAGCGATGAAAACGTCTGCTTGCTCTCTAAACTAATTTTTTTAATAAATAACTTGTGGCTAGCCTCAAATTTTGTAGCATTTATCAAGTTTTAGAAACAAATATATTAGCGTGAAAGACAAAAGACATGTCCACTCAAAACCAGTTATTTTTTTAACTGGAGGTTTTCACTGTTGCCATTAGGGGGCAGTGCAAAGGCAGCAAAACCCTCGGATGGGTCACCGCACTCCAACTGAAAGATCCTCGATGAAATTGCAGTAAATTTGTCACTTACAGCATATTTACTATGTCGTTGGAGGTCACCTGCATGGTTTCCTAGCATTGCTTACTGCTTCATTACACACTGCCATGTCTCCTGTAACAAGGTCTTGCCTGCAAAATACCATTTGTATGGAAGTTCTTCTCTAATGTGTGCTTTATAGCCCTGCTCTAACAAATTTACTTGTTTTGTCAGTTCGTCCTATTATTCTGTCTGTAATTTTTGTAATAGCAACACTTTTTTCCTCACAGACGAGCCCAGAAGCAAATCATGGATCTGGTATTCATGTCTTTAGTGGAACAAATCAAATCTGACTGGTTCAGAAAGTTCCAAAATCAACAGAGTAATTCTCCTGAATTGTAGACCAGTGAAACCTGGCTTATGGAAATGAATAGTTTACATGTACACAACCTTGATAAAACCACAAATAAATAAATCAAATTCAGGTAGTGATCTAGTGCAGAAGCCCAGAAATGTTCTTATTTCAATGTAAAACAAATTTAGCTACACCAAGCTGTTACTTTGACAATTGGATGTTACATCCGACTATTTCTTTTTCAACTTCGGGAAAAGTTCCCCTTGCCCATGCAGGAAAAAATATTTCAAGCTTTTACTGGAGAGGAAGCAATCTGCCTCACTTAATAACATATTCACACTATCACTAGAAAATAACTAAAATACGCATGAAATAAAAGTGTTCACAGAAGATTTTTTTCTTCATTTAATTAAACTAATGCTGCCAATATAATAAATAAATAATTGGCCTAGCTATACTGTATCACTGGGTATGTAGTATGTTCCCAGACACTGCTCTGCACAATAAATAAACAAATATATGCCCAAAACCCTATATGTGGTATCAATGTTTTAAAATGCAACCCTTTCTTTCTTCCTCTTCATAGCAGGGACATTGCACTAATTCCCTTCCAGAAAAACACAGTGCTCTCAAGCAGTGCTACTACAGGCAGATTATGAAGCAGAAAAACAGCTAAATAACTGCATCTCCCCACACTCTTCGTGCTGCAGCCACTAGTGCACAGCACATGAAAAATCTCCTTTCATTAATTATGCATGTAGTGGAAGTGCTGACACAGCAGGAGCTTGCTGTGATGCCACTTTGCTTGAGGTCTGCATACAAGAAGCAGCAAGAGTCACCAGAATTCCAGAGGAGAGAAACGAAGGTGCCACACTTGACACTGGATGTTACTCTGGACCATTCCCCTTCTTAGCAGCTGAACACATTCAACAACTCAGTGCATTGCCAGGGAGGGTAAACTCCATGCAATTCCCACAGTCTCAGGGAGTCATGGCAGTCTGGCACTCTTGATAGCACCTTCCACCAAGCTCAGTCTTTTCCTCCTCAGCTGAATACTTCCTCCGTGCCCTGCCCCATAATGCCCTTCCGTGCAAACTTCTGCTCCTTGCCCTGTAGCTCCTGTACTTACACAGTTCTGCCTACACATCCTGTTCTTGCAGATGACATGGCATGGGAGCAACATGCCACATTTTTAGACCCGTTCCTATTCTATTGTCCTGGGTTTGGCTGGAATGAAGCTCATTTTTTTCTTGGTAGCTTTTTTCTTGTGTTTTGGATTCAGTATGAGAATAATGCTGATAACACACTGATGTTTTGGTTGTTGTAGAGCAGTGCTTACCATAAGCCAAGGGCTTCTCAGTGTCCCATGCTCAGCCAGTGAGCAGATGCTCAAGAAGCTGGGAGGAAGCACAGGCAGGGGGGCTGACCTGAACTGGCCAAAGGGATATTCCATACCATAGAACACCAAGTTTAATATATAAACTGGGGGGAGTTGGGTAGGAGCTGTGGATCACTGCTCAGGGATGGGCTGGGCATTGGTCAGTGGGTGGTGAGCAATTGTATTGTGCATCACTTGGTTTGGGTTTTCTCTCTCTCTCCCTCTCCTTAATAATAATAATAGCAACAACAATAATAATATTGAATGAACAGCTGCTGCGGTACTTAGTTGCCGGCTGGGGTTAAACCATATCATCTACCCTGTGCTGTGCTCAGGCCAGAGGGCAGGCACATAACAAGGGCAGTGCAGGGGTTTATGCCACCTTCTGCCAAGGCAGTTAGAAGCTGGAATCACCAGCGTGTCTGGCCTCTTCTTTACCTTCTATTCTGTGAGGTGGGCTTACCCACAATGGCCTTGTGCTTGTAGTCCTCACCTGTCTGTGTTGTGAGGGTCAGTGTACCTCAAGTAGTACCAAGCAGAATCAACAAATGTATCCATGGTATCGACTTCTCGCCGCGCTGCTGCCTTACACCTGAGTGAGAGAGAAGAAGAAAAACAATTTTTAGATAAGTGACAAGCTTGGAAAAAAACAAGCATGTACAGAGGCCACAAAGACACTGAGATTGCAAACTGAAGGGGTGTAAACAGTATGAAGAGTGACATGTTCAGGAAAGATCCAACAACAGTAACAGGGCTGACTCCTGCCCTCTCCTTCCCAAACCATACAAAATCTAAGTAAAAAAGAAGCCTGAACAGCCATCACATTCAGCCACAGCAGAAGATAGCACTGCACTGGACAGTCCTCTTGATCCTGGAATTTTTCACAATTGCCATTTTAAAAGACACAAAGCACAGACAAGCGTAATTTGCTGTAAAGTTAATGGGTACTGAATATATATCACACTCGTTAGGTACCAGCAGACAACCAATTTTATAAACATTTAGCAGAGGGAGCAGGTGGTTGCCTCTCTCTTGATTGTCTGTACAAAAAGGTCTTTGCAGATTCCATTTATTATCTCTAGAAAAAATTAACTTTCCTTAATTTCAGCTTTCACTGAGATGTAGCAAACGTCTTCTAGTTTGTGAATAAGGCAAATTGATTTCTGTTTGTAATTATATCGGCAGCCCTGAGAAGCAGATTTAAAAACAGACTGTAGAAGTTCAGGTTACTTTCTGCTAATTTCTGCCTGAATATTAATTGCTTGTAGGAGCCAATAATCACATTTAATAAACTTCCATTTGTTGTAAATGATCTCTCTTAAAACTCTTACTGTTAAAACAATGGGAATATTCTAATGTCAATGAAACTTTGCAAGCTATGGCACACCTGTATATAAATACCACTGGCAATACGTAAGAAATGTATGCAATTTATAATTGTATGCAAATTTAAATGTATGTCTGTGTATAATAGGCATACATAATAAATGGGGGCTGGCTATTTAATACTTTCCAACTGCATATTTAGTCTCTGATCAGGCTTGACGATCAAGCTGCAACATGTATCTGCCTCTCTGCCTGATACTTCATCTTGGCTTGCTGAGACAAGTTTAGGAGACCATCACCACTTAATATTTTCCTTCTCTCTGTCTCTGCCCCTGGTTCTTCTCTATCAGCAAGTTTTTCTTTTAATGAGAACAATGTAGTAAAGAATTTTTACTTATTACTGCTGTTTAATATGGAATAATCATTTTATTAAATTGCACATATAAGCAGAGACTTGGCAAATGTAAAAGAATACTGTATTAGAATGAAACAGAATGGCTTTTCAGTCAAAAGCAAGAATACTTTACAGTCATTGAACCATAATTATTATCTTGCTTCGTGCCTCTGTGCTCTAAGTGGACATAGCTCACTAGCACAGAGACAGCCTGGGCATCTTCCAAAGTTTATACAATTTATATCAATATTGTGATTACAGAAACAATACTGTAATCTCATTAGACAGTCTTCAGACAACTAACACAATTACCTGGACTTGTGTAACAATGAATAAATTGGGCATCTCCTTCCATATATGATTGCTAACATTATTGTCACTCAAATAATCTCAGACTTTTGTGTCTTTCCGTCTGGGTTGCCTTATTAATTCTAGATATTAAATGCAACCAATAAAAAAAACCTATTACTGGAGAGAAGGACTAAAGAAGGGATGATGTAACTTCTCAGAGCAAGGAAAAGTAAAGATGATTATGCTCAAAGGATTAGCTCAAAGGGTTTGAAACTGTAGCAGACATATGGATGAGCAATGCTGAAACAGGTGTCAAACAGGCAAGAATTAAGAAGCCAATTAAGGTAAGAATAAAAAAAAAGAGTTAATTTCAGCGAAGTGGAACATTTTAGGCTAAGAAACTAATTCTGTGCAGAAGAAATTTCCTATGTAGAAATTTCCTAAGCAGAAACATAGAAGTAAATGTGTGTTCTACAAAACATATATGTTATCAACAAAGGGCAAAATATATGCTCCCAGAGACCCATGGAACTGCTGTGCATAAGCTCTCTAACCAGAAATTAAACCCACACTGACATTCTACCTATTAAATATTAAAATAAAGTTAGATGATATGAATCTGCTGCATTATCAATGAGAGCCCTAACACAATTTATATTCCTGATACCCCTGCCTGGCAGCCTAATTGCCATCTGGTCAGTCTTTAGCAGCAGTATTGTGTTGCACTGCTGATGAAAAACTTCTCTGGGATACCTCATGTTCTACCAGTTCCTTCTACAGAACCCATATGCACACTTCAGTGTACAGAGTATTTAAGCAGCCCTGAAGATCAGACGACTAATTTTCACAACATACCTCTCACTACTTAATTTAGGCTGTTTTCTTTCTTAAACAGGGATTACAGCATTGACAAGATGTACGTACTTACTATCTTTTTCAATCTGAATTAAATACTGTTAGCTGCAATGTACAGTGAATGTGATTCTTCATGATAAGGACTTATATAGCCAAGGAAATGCTTTATTGTTGTACTATTGCAAGAAAATGAGCACGATCTTCTTGTCCTTAACAAAAGGACATAATTCAGTAATCTATGAGCTTTATATGAGTAGCACTGGTGAAAGATAATTAACATAACTGCACTAAATGAAGTGAGAAATACTGTCAAGAAATGGGAAGCAGGGAGAAAATAATTGTTTTTCCTGTTTTCTTTCTTCCAACTTAAAACCAGTGAGTTTTGCTCAGTCAGTTTATGAAAAAATAGCAGTGGGTGTTTGTGTTGAAAAGAAAAGATTTATAGAGTATTTAAGGGAAAATGCTGGGTCAGACTAAACACCACTCTGGAGTAGTATCCTGTCGCAGAGCGTTGTCAATGTTTTTTAAGAGCACAAGAAAAAGCAGGTACAAAGTGATATCTCCCAGGCTGCAGCAAATGCAGCGCTGGCTTACCTTGGGCAGGAACAGTTCACCCATTCTGGAGCACTTTCTAAAGGTGAGGCTCCCTTTCCTGTGAAGGTGGTTACATTGGGCAACACCACAGGTAGGTCTTCATAAGGTACGGGCACAGTGCCACATGTGTGGCAGTGAATGACTGGAATAGGTGTTCCCCAGTATCGCTGTCGAGATATTAACCAGTCTCTTAATTTGTCACTCGTTAGGTCCCCACCTATTCTTTTATTTTTGGCCTGCTGAGTAACAGCTTTTAAAGCCTCTTGCCGAGTCATGCCTGTGATCTGATTGGGAAAAAAAAAGAAAAAAAGAGAAGCAGACGAAGAAAGAAAGATTTATACTTGCTGTCAGTGAAAATGCAAGAACAGACAAAAAAGTCATAAATGCAATTTCCAAGAGTCAAAGTTTATGAGCCTCATAATAATTTCTCCCTTCCCACTGTTTAACATTCTTCTATCCAAAAGCCTATTCACATACCAGCTAGACATTTGAACCCTCTTGCTTAAAGGGTAATCTTCTTGATGGCCTGAAAAGAACAAGGCTGAGAGTCTTGTAGACCCTTCAGCCTTTACTGACAGATATTTGCACTTACTGCTGGTATTTTTACCAGTTGCTGTATGCCAAAATTTCCAGAATTCCATCACCAACATAAAGTAGAGACTGAGGAAATGCAAACATTAAAATAGCTTTCTCCTGTGCTCATTCTTGGTTTTTCTATTCTTGCTTTCACATGCATCTTAATCACATAGACACTACCTGGCACATAACAGAATATGAGCTTTGTGTCTGCTATCAAATACCATTTTTCAAGAGCTGTATCTAAAGATAAGATTTCTATGTCACTTGAGGCAGATATGTTACCATAAATGCTTAAACCATGTTTCAGTGAATATGTGGAAAAAGGACTATTATGTTAATATTTAGCTTAAAAACATATTGAGATGATGAAATAAGAATCAACTTTTAACATAGGTAAAATTATTCTGTTTTCATTATAGAACTCAGATCAATACAGAGGAAAGTACAATCTTACTCTCATGTACAAATGGAAAAACTTGTTTTATGGCTGCAGCAGAGCCAACATATTTCATTATTAAACTATTCCTAGAAATTTGATAGCATAAGCTTGGCTTGATTCTTAAAAAAAACCCCACTCTTTAATCATACAAAGTATTTAGGCACTCTAGAGAAAACTGATTTAGTTTGCATTGTTATTCTAAGTTGGAAAGAACTTCATACTTGTATACCCACCTCTGCAGAATTAATGACCTTCTCCAAACCATTTGGCAATGTCTCAATGACTTCAGTGAAAGAAATTCCCAGATTCTTAGCTACTGCAGCATCTTCTGCACTAGTACTAGGAATTCCTAGGAGGGATGAAAAAATAAATCAGTTCTGGGATTGAGTAACATGGACATCAATCATCAGTTAGAGGAAAAAAAATTCATTTCAATGACATTATCTTTATAATAACTTATGCTTGTCCAAAGGAGTTAAAAATAATCTAAGAACAAATAAAATATTTCCATATTCCTTAAGCAGTGAAATTCAAACAGCAATAATTACAAATGTATTCTCAGTTCCTCTGTAATTCAAATGTTCATCAACGTCCTACTGTAGAAAAGGCTGAAAAAACTAAAAATAGATCTACAAAATTTGGAAAGAGTCACAGAATTTTCAACACAGCTATATATTACATAAATATATTTAAATAATACAAACTTTAATTATATTTACTAATATGAGAATGACATACTAAAAAACAGCTGGAATAATCCTCCTGTTTCAATAGTAAAATTTAATTTCTTTCTAATTCCATAGTTTATTAGAATGTACCATGAGTCTCTAACATTACTATCCCTTTAACTTATTATGAAAGATGCAATTTGTTTATAAACTCAGGAAAACAATTTGTATCAAAACAATTTTCTATTCAGAGTATAACTAGTGAGAAGACTTCCTAGTGCTATTCAAGTCAGTTACAGAAGTCACAGTATTTAAGGCCCATGATGCTACATTTCCTGCTGCATCTTACTGTCTGGGACAGTCATACATTTTGGTTCTGCTCTGGACAGTAACCTTTCACAGTGAACTAAGAAATTTCTTCGCTTTGTTTTCACATGTATTCTGAGATACCACTGAGATACTAACAGATTTATTATTTCCACAGAGATACACCTTTCTGCCTATTTCCCCCTATCAGTGATAATTTAGTTAATAATTTGAACAGTCTTGCACAATTGCTGTCACCTTTAAAGGGCAAAGAAACTGATTCCAACAAGCCAATGCCCATATTAAGTTGGTGAAAACTACAGACAAAAACTCTCAAAGTATTTGCTGAGCACATTAGAATTCTTAACATACAAACTACTTCACTCCAAAGCAGTTTAACAATCATCTTTGTTCTGGCAATGAAATGCCTGCTATACATTATCTCTGCCAATATGCATAAGTTTGGAAGCAGGCAACTAAAGAAAATCAAGCAAAACTCCCCTGTGATAAATAACTCCCTAACTAGCAAAATATGGAACTGCTATTTTATGTTTCCCGCAGATGTATACTCTTGCCATTTCAAGGCTCTACTATAGAATAATGCATGTATCTTCATTTGTTAAAGAGCCCTGCAGTCTGCAACAGGTGGCTTCACAATATGCTCTACAAATGGGAAAAAGCAGGTCTCAGTTTTTTGTCTGCCTTCTTTTGAAAAGATGATGCTATTAATGTACATTGGCAAAGCTCAACAGCTGGCATCCACAACTTCCCAGGAAGAGCTGGGCTCTCTTCAGCAGACATAAGGCCAAGGTATGTGCCAGTGAGCAAGCTGGAAGCTTTCAAGGAAAAATAAGATTAGGTATCTCAATTATTTGGCTTCTCTGAGATAAGAAAAGATTCTGTTTCTCAAAAGCAGATTCATATCTAAAGTGCAAGCTGTGGGCACATTGTAACTAAGGTATACAGCCCAAGTGGATAATTTCCATTAGTCCTGTGAGAGTCATCCAAGACATTTTTGTACAGTCAACTGGTCTCATCCAGTCCAGTTGTGCGAGAACAGCCAGTATTGGCAGTGGTGAAAGCAGCAGCCCCAGGACAGGAAAGAAGTGTTGGCAATAGGTAGGCAATAAAGGGAGTTAAGGGATAAGGAAGGTAGTGGAAACAGGGAAGAAATCTTTTCTTCCTATATTTCTAGGAGAGCAGGGTCCCATCACCTGTAACAGTTCCTCAGAAAGACAAACGCCATCACTCCAGATGTCCCCCCTTCCTCCTTCTTCCTCCCACCTTATATACTGAGCATGATGTCATATGGTATGGAATATCCCTTTGGTCAGTTTGGGTCACCTGTCCCAGCTGTGTCTCCTCCCAGTCTCCCATGCATCCCCAACTTCCTTGCCAGCGTGGCAGTATGGGAAGCAGTAAAGGCCTTGACTCTGTGTAAGCTCTGCTCAGCAATAGCAAAACCATCTCTGCATTATCAACCCTGTGTTCTGCACAAATCCCAAACATAGCCTTAGCCTCGCCTCTGTGAAGAAAGTTGCTCTGCCCCAGCCAAAACCAGTACAGACTGGCACAGAACATTGCCTTCTCGATGCAGCTGAGACCATAGCATAGCCTCATACTAGCCTCTGTGAAGAAAGTTGCTCTGCCCCAGCCAAAACCAGTACAGACTGGCACAGAACATTGCCTTCTCGATGCAGCTGAGATGAGACCATAGCAAAGCACAAGAGTAAACAAAATGTTCAGTGTGTGCAGGTTAAAATGAACACTGTTTTTAAAACTTAGTACAATTTCTAATTTTACTTATAAGGACAATCATATTATCTAAGCATATGAACTTAGCTGCCCAAGCTGGGGAACTAGGCTCCCTAAGCAGGAAAGGAGTCTGACAGACAGTTCCATGGGACAGCTTTAAAAAGAGAAGCAAGATAACTGTCTAAGACTACCTGAAAAGAATTATTACCTGTCCAGAACTATTTTACTGGCCTCAACACAAATATTATCAGATGAACATCAAACTTGGAAGTTTTGTACATTTACTGTCTGAAACATTTATCTGTAAGGATGCACAAAATTTATGCAAACATAAAAAACAAAAAACCGCTAAAAGTTAGGCTTGTTTGCAAAATATTTATGTCAAAAAATGGCACAGTTTTGTTTTGATTAAGGATGGTGAGAGCCAAACACATATGCTATAGGTAATTTATTCTCTTAAGATATGCAGATCCTCAAATTTAGCTCATTAAATGCACTAATTTTATAATATTTCAACTTAAACTTATCATCCTGTAAATTTCTTCCCCAGACAGATTCCACATAGCTACTTTTCCCTTCCTTCTTCACTAATGAAGAACAGAATTCTGAAGTCCAGGAGAGAGTCTCTGTGTTCAAAGATTTACCACAACGGCATCTTGTGCTCCATCACAGCAACTGAAAACCACAGTATTCCACTTACACATTTAATGTCACATACCTATTTTAGTATCAAGAAAATTATCAAAATTGGTTTTTGCTGAGATGACTACAGGAATCTCCTGATTGGTAAGCAAATTCACAGCTGTCACTGAAGTGAGTGAGTCTGAAAACAAATGTAATGATCAGGTAAGTAAAATATGACAGAAGATACGCTAAGAACATGACTTACCACTAGAACTCAGTTTATCTTAAACATACATGAATTTTAAATTACAATTGTCTTTAAAAAGAAGGTTAAAAAAACCTAATCCCATTTCTAAAAAGCTCAGATGATCAAAGTCTTCAGTAAGTCAGACTGATAAATTTTCATTATCAGAAAACCTACTTATAACCAGCACCTGAATAAAAACAGAGTAAGATTTCAATTACAATGTAAAAAAATGAGTCCTTGACCAAAATTCAGGCCTGTTGCAAAGTTGTATCAATTGACTCTAGTAAGTCCTGATTTATATAGTAGCATATATTATTACAAACTTACACCAAAAAAATCCAATTACTCAGATGAAACTGAAGGGGAGCATATGTCTTTATGATTTTCTTTTCCTACAGAAGAACTACAGAGCATACGAAATATTGACCAGTGTTAAAAATCACACCTACGTAACCTACTGGTTTCCAAACACAATATTCATAATCATATAAAAGAGGAGGAACCCAGTGTCCACAAGGAAGGGGAGAGAGGAGAGAATCAAGAGTGAGAATTGTGATAAACTGAAATTGATTTATAATGTGTAGTTTGAGTGGCTTGGCAAAAAGAAAACCAAATCTGAATGGTCTAAGTTTTGAGGATTCAAACCCCAGATCTCAATTTGGACCTATGTCTAACTTTTTCAGTGCCTTTAAGTTGATGATAATTAAAATAATTAAAATCTGGGCTGCTAAGATCTTCTTTCCAACTCTCTTCAA